CTCTTAATATTAGTCGAGGTCCCTAAATAGAGTAGTAGTTCTACGATCTTAATTAGGTGCGTTAGGCGATAGTTACTACTATACTTACTATTACTATTTAGGTTTAATAGGCGTTCTAACTTAATAACGTAGTCGTGTTATAATAGCTGTATTCTACGGGTAACGCGGTCGCGAATAACCTTAATACTAAGGAACTACTATAGAGTCGCCACCTTCTAGGTTATAATAGCGTTATAGGTTATTAATAGCCTACTCTATCAACGCCTTATATTATTCCTTATAAGTAATAACGATATTATTAACGTAGAAGAATAGGATTAAACCGCGGCGTAGAAAGTAACACGGTTCCTACGGTACTATCTAGAAACCGTCCACTAAAAGAATAGCCAAAAAGCGCTTTTACTAAAGTAGTAGGGACTCCTTAAGTCTATATAACGCCTTTTCCAGGTATAGACGACTCTTAGGGGCTAGAAAACCTGGCGGCGGGTATATAAAGATCTTATGGGGGAGGGGCGTATATATAAACACGTTTATAACGTTGAATTATAATAGCGTAAGGTTACATTAGACGTTGATAGCTATTAATACGCGGAACGACTATCCGGCTAGCGTTACTACATATATCTTCTTAAGCGAGGATTAATACTACTAATCTCCTCGCACTATAAGCCTTACCTTATAATTCTATAGAAATCTATACTTATCGAACTTAAATATTTTTACCTATATCGAATTAAGAACCTAATATCTATCTGCTACGGACGCCGGTACCCGTATCCACGACCCTATCTCCTCGTGGCTCCGTAGGTAGTCTTCTTATACCTATCGGAATAAGTGGCTATAAGGGTGTAAGGGTATATCGCGAGGGTTCTTCGGAGGAGGAGGGAGGTTTTTACGGTTGATCTTTACGGCCGCCGGGGTAACCGCCGGAGCACCCGCAAAAATAACCACCGGGGTTATATTTCCCGAGATAGCCTCTCGGGTTATACTTCCGGTAGCTACCGCCAGGGCCATGAATTCGTAGGGTATTATTAAGCGTCGCTATAGCGCTATAGGCGTAGACCTTTTTAACCGTGGTTTAGTTAGCGGAGTCCTATTTAATATATATATAACCAGGGCGTAACGGCCAGTATTAAATACTATAATCTGATAATCTCTTTTCCAGCTATCTCCTTACCGTATTAGTCGCGCTCCTTTATTTAATAGGAGCTCTATAGCCGTAGCTATACGGGTATCGCGGCACCGTATTCTGTTATCCTAGAACCCTACGGCCGTAACCGTAGGGGTATCACGATTTCCTAATATAACGGCTACTATTAGCACTATAACCGACGGCGGGGTTACTAGTAGAGAGGAGAGTAGCGGAATAGGTGGTTATAGACGTTAATTAGGCGCTATACCCGCTAAACCATACTATTCGTGACCTAAGTTTTATCTGGCCTCTTCCACCCCCTTACGGCCGGGCATTACTAACTATAACCTTAACGGCAAAACCGTTAAGGAAAGGGATCCGGGGGCGTTTTGCCCCGGATCTAAGGGCATAAACGCTTTAAAATAAGCAGTTATATAAAAGGGGGGGTCCTTAGCTTATACGTCCGTAAACGGCTATCAATCTCTAGCCCTCTCCTACTTAATCTAACTAATTAGGTCTTCTAATTACTCCTCGGTTAATTAAGGGAGGTTATCCTTAAAGGTATCGATATCGCCGTTAAAAACGGCATATTCCTCGAAATCTATATCGCGCGTGCGAATAACACGGTTATAGTTATAGTGGCCTAGTATCTAGATACGGAAAATATTAGTAGAATCGTAGCCTATAAGGTAGCCGATATAGGCATAAGCAGCGATACGATTTAATAGCTTATTAGTGCCCTTTTAGGCGTCCTTAGTTATTATATACGCCTTATAGCTATAGGCTCGGAGATATATTATACCCGTGCAGATACGGCGTTAGTATAGTATCGGCAGCCGGTTATATAACTCCCTTTTCGAGGCTATTGGATCTATATCCTATATATATATTGAAGGGATATACGTAGGATATCCCCGGCGAGGGACTATTATTCAAATATTATCCTCTTTTATAATTACTTATTCCACGTTGAAGGTATCTTTCTAGTTTAACTTACGTTACCCTAATCAGAATAGTAACTACTGATCTACTTCTTCGCTAAAGGTTATAGCGGTGTTAGTTATATTTTAGTTATGCATCGTGGGTTAGCAGGACTAACCTCTTTGTCTAATCTTTATCTTAACGATCTAGTGCCACTACATCTTCATTCAGTTATAATAATAAAATCGGCTTCCTTCTAAAAAGGACCTCGTATAGTGTTTTCTAATCCTTATTATTATACTGCCTTCGTGGTATCCGGGTATAGACGTATATGGCCGTGGGAATAGCCTTAGGCTATATAAACGGCGGTAGTTTTACGTTAATATTTATCGTATAACCTTTCGAAATCACCACTATAGTAGCGCGTTTAGCACCCCCGTTCTACGCTTAAGTATCGGTAGCGGAGGCCTCTAAAAGGATACCCTCTGCACGCAGGAATTAGGTGATATCGTGGGATTAGGTTAGCTTAGTATTAGATTCGAAGACGCGCACCTTATAGCCTAATTAACGGTCTACCCAGGTAAGGAATTCCTTAATTATTTAGAGGATATCCACTGCCAGCTTACTCTTTATAACGTAGGTGGCCGTAAAACTACTATAACGGTCGGTGAAAAATATAAACCTCGAGTCCCCGTCGGACGTTCGGTTAAAATCAGTGAAATTAATTGCCTACCGCTCCCCTACGTAAGCAGGTACGGTGCGAGGGCGCCAACGAATATACCGTTTAATCTTTATAAGCTTATAGACGGTATAGTCGATAGTTATTAGTCCCTTTATTTTAACCCCCTACGTCTACTCTTCTAGGTACCTAAGCGGTTTAGGGCTAGTATACCTTAGTCGTAGATACTATAAAATACCCTCCGTAGTGCTTAGATAGCGTATCGTCGATTTATAGATAGCTTTTCGGGTAGAAGAAGAGCCTAGAAAAGCAGTCGTAGATTAGTTAGAGGGTATATATTTAATAATGGTTTAATCGAAGTGGTGACTTAGCTAGTATAGTATAGATCTATCGGTACGTCGAAAGTACTTATGTAGTGGCTTTTAATCCTACTAGTATCCTTATAGTCGTAACCGTTAGTTTAAGATTAAACTATAGGTAAAATCTTCTTAGTATATAACGTTTAATAGTTTAAAATTAAGGCCTCCTATTAGTCCGTTTAATCTCACGGTCACGTTACCGTAACCTTTAATAGGTAATAACAAGCTGCCTATAACTATATAGTCTCCTTACATAGCGGGTATAAAATAAGAAAAACGGGAAAAATCGTTAAAAATATAAATAGTAGCGCCGGAATTAAGGATAGCAGAGGTTCCAAGAGGGTAAGTAGTAGTAGTACCCGCTATAAATGTGGTAGCGTAGGAGACGCCGGTACGGACGCTTTTATAATCGAGTCACGCCTCTTTAAGCTATACAGAGTCCCGGCTTATATCCTTCTTCACCTTCTTTACGGTGCGTAGTTCTTCCACTTCCGCGCGTAGAGCAGGGTCGTATTTAAGGATCCGTTAGACGGTTATTTTAGTGCTCTTAAAGGGCGTCTAGTCGTTATATACCGTATCTAGGAATAAATAGAAGCAGGCGTTAATATTATAGCTAGGTATAGCGTATACACGCTAGATCTGCCCTCTCTATAAAGCAGATTAGCCACGTTTAGAAGAGGGACGGTTAGTTAACGTAGTAGAAGGTATAGCTATAGATATCGCGGTAGTGGGATTCTTAGCTTTATTCTTCCCACGGCGGCCCTTCTTACGGGGCTTAGCCGTGGCCTCTAAGGTATCTTTACCCTCCTCGCTTCCGGTGTATAGTGCAGGGAATACTATAACGCGGTGGCTACCACGTTTTCCTTAGTCTTTAAGTCTAGTAGTAATATATTTCTGACCGAGGGTATCAAGGTCTTCGGGTATAACTACTTAGTTATCTATAAGGCGTCCCTCGGCCTTAGTCTAATCGCGGCCGGTATAGGGGCGTATACCTCTAAAGAAATCAATAACCTATATCTATATAGCGGGCTTTAAACCGGTATCTTTATAGCTTTATAGTAGTGGGTACTACTTATCTAACCACCCCCTAAGCTTCTTAAGGCTATTCGTAGGGTACCGAGTATACTCCATATACTCTTCGTGGGTATCGGTTTAGCGGGTAGCCAGGTACTAATCCGTATCGCGTTTAACAGCTTTATATACCTTACGAGGTATACCTCCTCGTAGTAGTTATCTACGGCTTTAGTTAATAGTATTAACCTACTAGGTTAGTATAGCGTTAATCCCCTTTAGGTAGCTATCGTATTACGCTTATAGGATCTTCCAGCGCGCGATTTCGATATCGTACGCCTTCTAGCCAGCGTCCGTAAGGTTAAGATATTATATAGGGGTACGCCTAGGCGTTATAGAGGGGAAAGAGTCGTAATTCAGTATTATAGGCTCCTCGAGGAATTAAGTCGGATCGACTAGGCGGAGAAACCGCTATATATTCTTATAGGTGGTAACCGATTCGTATAGGCATCGCTAGAGCTCCTAATCCTTATAGGTTTTATCCGTAATAGGGCTAAGATACGATATCTTAAGAGTTATTTATAGATTAACACGCTTTATCGGCGCGGCTAGATAGCTTCTTAAATCGATAATAGTAAAGGTAAAAGGGTAGGTAAAATAGGTATATCTTTACTTAGTAAGTAAGACTCTTAATTATTAAATAAAGCGTAGTCCAAATCGGTATAAAATAGGTCAAAATTAATTCAGGTAATTATGTATAATTCTAACTGTCATAGACCGTCAGGGAAACGCTGCCACCGTATTTTCTATAGTGCAGATTCTGTAAGCGTCTACCCGGATTATACTCTTAGCAATCTGGCCTACTACGTAACCGAAAAAGACTGTGGTCTGTTCGACAAATATAGGTATAAAAGAACTTTACTAAAGAAAGTGCTAGCCAGATATTCTTAAATAGCTTTAGTATAATCTTTAAGTAGGCTACATACTCCTTAAACGTTTTAGAAAAAACGATAATATCGTTAATATATACCTTATAAAAATATCTATATTTAAATAGTCTCTAATCAATAAATCCCTGCACGAATAGTAGGGAGTTCCGAAAACCTATTAGAATAACTTTAGGGCGTTTTAGACCTTTAGGTAAGACGATTATTATTCTTTCCTTATATTCTTCCTTAACGGGGAGCTAGTAAAAAAAAGAGCTAGTATCGAAAGCGCTAAACTATTTCTTTCCTTATAGACTCTAAATAGTTTTATCCTAGGAGGGTATCGGGTACGCATCTAGTAAAATAGTATTATTTAGCTTTCGGAGATCGACTATAACTCGTCCTTTTTTAATACCTTAGCTAGTCAGCTAGATAATAAAACCAGGGTAGGTAAATAGGGTGGGTTTCCTCTACTAGGTTATACGACCTATCTTATATATATCGTTAAACTTATCGTCTAGATATTATCGGTCCTCGTCGCTAAGCTAGTAGAGTCGGGAATATAGGTTTATTTTCTGCTAGTTACTAACTAGATTAACTCGTATACGCTTATTAGGTAGGAGTAGAATAATGCCTTTATCTCGTTAAATATTAAAGGATTATAAAAGTATACGAAGCTACTCCGCCTTAGCGGAGTCGGTAGCGTAAATATATACCCCCTCTTTTATACCGATTTCCGGCACGTTATTAGATGATTCGGGGTTTATGTACCGTGTTTCTTTATAGAGTATAGTTTTTCAGGTTACGGTAGGGTCGGTAAGGCGTCTATTAGTTCCTGCGGTATTATATATATAATTTGTCGGACTAGCTTATAGTCTTTAAACTTATATCACTCGATCGCTATTAGGGTGTAGGCGTTAATCTATTCGATATCTTCTATATCGTCTTTACCTACTTCGTATATATAGCTAAGCCTATCTGACCTAAATAGTATAAGTGAGTATTTAGAATTATTAATATACTAGATAACCTTAGGAGTCTCCGTATCGTAAATATCTAAAAATACCGAATAATACGGTTCTGGCTCGAAATAAAAATTATATCCGTTTACGAGACTATTATATTAAACGGGGATAAGTGTCGAAGCTAAAGGGGGAATTATAACGGTTTAGGCGACTATAATCCTATATCGGCGTCGAATTAGTTTCAGTCGGTATTCGCGGATAGGTATTTTTATATTATAGCAGCCTATAATACGAAGTTAGCCGATAGTGTATAGAATATTAACGCCATAAGTCTAGCGGAATTTAGCGCCTAGGAGTATCCTGGCTTCGAGACCGTCTATAACCCAGGCTATAACGGTAAAACAGCCGACTATAGGAACGTATGAAATATAGCTATCGACGTAGAAGTTAAAAGTGGCGATTTCTTAAACTATTATTTTACCGGGGACGCCATGTATTAGCTTTAGTTTAGCAGCTTCTATAAAACGAATATTATAAGCATTATCTATTAGCTATCTTTAGTCTATAAGAAGTATAGTATATCCTAAGTCTACGTAGATATCTAATTAAGTTCCGTTAGGTATAAGCTTACTAGGGATACGGTAGTACATATAGTAGTCTAAGGCTCGGCCTATTAAAACCTAAGTATTCACGATATCGTTTAGTTTAAAGGCGAATTAGCTAATAAGTGTATTAGGCTTATATAGCCTTAGTGGTTTTAGGGCCTTAAGTATTTCTATCGGCGATATACTAGGGGTATAGGTATATACTAATTAAAGTTTATTTATAGTTATAGACTCGGTCTAGTCTAGCGGGCTTTATAGCTTAGCTTTGTTAGAGTGTAACTTAACCTTAGCGGGGTATAATATAGCCTGCGCGCGGGGTTCGTGATTAGCGGGTAGTATGATATTATCGACTTACGCAGTATAATAAGTCTAACTTAGGCGCTATAGATAATACAGTGCCTAGCCCTTAGGCTTTAATACCGTGTATATATTACCAAAACGGATCGGAATAGTTGTGTTCTGCTTAGTAAAAACGTGTTATATTTATTATATTTATATATTATTAGTTTCGACGTGGCCGACGGTACTTTAGGTTTAGTATACCGGTAGCGGGTTATTTTCTGATATTAAAAGAAATCAGTATAATCATGGTAAGGCGGCGTAGCAGTGTTCTTATAAGGTTAGTGACTATTATAGCCGGTAAAATAAGACTAATTCACGTTAATTTCCTCTGTGTTACCCTTAATATCTCCCTCGTCGATCTTATAAGTGTATATTTCCTCGCCTTCGCTAAGAACTTCCTCTAAGAATATAAAACCCTTCTGTCGTAGCTTAGTCTTATTCTATTCCTTATATGGATTATCTATAGCTATATATATTACCTATCTATCTCTATTATTATTTCGGATCTATTTACGCACGCGATATTAGTACGGACGCTGCTTCTCTTTATACTATCTACTATTGTATCGGAACTATCTACCTCGCTAAGCTTATTCTCCACGCTAGTTTATAAATCTACGTCCACAGAAACCGCGGTTATTTCCGTAACCACGGCTACCTCTGTAATCTAGGTCTTAAGTACGTGTATAGCCTCCGCGTCTATTATATCCGGGGCCATAGCTATAAAAGCCTCCCCGTAGTTAGCTGATCTAGCTCTAAGTAGCTATTCTTTCCATAGGAATATCGTTAGTATAGTATATAAGAAGTCTACTATTAGGAATAATTTAGGTAGGCCGGTTAATATAATGCCCCGGCGGAGTAGGAGTAGGGTTGCCTAGTTATTCTAGTCGTAGTAGTCTGTGCTGGATTTATTATTAAAAGGGGAGTCTACGATTTTTATCTAGGCTTTAATATCTCGTATAAAACTATCTAATTAGAGTAGACTATTAGGGCGGTTATATATTTCTCTAAGGGAAGGGTCGATTCGATTCTAAATCTTCTATTAGATATTGAGGCTTATACGAATACTAGCGCCTAAGGCTTTATAAAGCCTAGTAAGATAATTAGCCTATTCGACGAAAGGACGACCGTTAACGATATCTCTGCTAATAAACTTTATATTAGATATTAGAGCTACTATAGTTTCGGGGCTAAGCTATTAGCGCTAACTAGAGCGGTAAATAGATTATTAAGACTATAGCGGGCCTCTGCTCGCTATATAACATCAAAACTTGTTACCCACTAACTACTCGCTACTCCCTTAAACAGGGAGTATAAGTTAAGATAAGCTTCCTCTCGGAGTTCCAGTCTATTTACCTAGTCTTTTACGCTTTCGATAAATAAGCCGATATCGTGCTAGTAAATACTATCGCCGATATACGTCTAGGAGTTACAAGGGTCTTTATTATTATTAGTGGGCGGGCTAAGAAATCTAATCGAAATAAGTTTTTTTCGGAAATCAGGGCGGTCTCTATTACCGGTACCGGCGAGTTACTACTTTATAAAGAAAGATATTATATTCTTAAACTAGTCGGAAGATAGTATAATAGGTAGGGGAAGAGATAACGTGGTTTAAGAAGGGCTTAGTACGGATCCAATAGTTATATTCTATAGGGGTAGTGCCTATCCTGGATAGTTAGGTGCTATCTATCCCGGAGGGTTAGGTACCGACTACGTGCCCTGGTCGGTATTCGTTATATTAGTATCTATCCCTAGAGCCGTGGTGTCCCTATATAGTAGTACTAGTAGATTATATAGGGCGTACTATAGAGGGTGTTAGCCGATAAGGCATATAGGGAAAGATCCTAGTAAAGGTGGATTAAAGATTAGTCTACGGAGGTAGGATAGTAGTAATAAGTTTAGGGTATATAAATATAGTAGCTATAGGTTATTATTAGTAATAGAAGATAGTCGAGTAAAAAGTAGTCTACGGTCAACTAGATTTAAAATGAGAGTTATCCGACCTACTGATATCTTCTGTCTATACTTCTAAATACCTTATAGATTAATAGGTTAAGTTAGGAGTGGTTCCTAGCTATTTTAGCGAGAGTAAGCACGATTTACTAGTTAGCTATGATAGATATTTAGTCTACGTAGAACTATCCGTAGTGTTACCTTAGCCGCCTAGGTATCCGTAGTCTAGGTATTAGGGAAGGTTAGTTCCGGGTTAGTAGTATCCTAGTAGTTTCTTCTGTTATTTCTGGCTAACTATTATCTCTACCGTTAATATTCTAGGGCGGCTTATGTCTAGAGGAGTAAGGCTTCTTCTTTAATAATAGTAATAGCTCCTTCTAGCAGATTCTACACCTTAGTCTAGATTAGGTTAGCCTTAATAAACTTATAAACTTAGAAATTCTCTTATTCTATTATAAATAAAGGTTCTATCTAGGGTAAGAAGGAGATATCGGGGTAAAACAAAGCAGCTATGTGCTTCTGATATAATATAGCAGTTATAACTAAATAGTAGCGCTTACTATATCACTGCTATTAGGAATCTATAACGTGCTTCGAGTCTATAACGTGTTTAAAAGAGGGGTAAAACTAGAAGTGACTTCGGTAATATAGAATATCGAATATAATCGTTAGTCTAATAAGTCGTTTTTAATATTAATAAAAAGGAGAAAAACGATAGTTTTATCGCTTATAGTCGAAAAGAAAAGCAAAAACTATAACGGAGAAAACTATAGACTTAGCTATAATATCTATATTCGGCGCGGTACCGATTAGTTTAGTTAGGGAAATACTGCAATTAAAGTGCGGCGTTTAACCGGTTATCGGGTCTAACGGAAGAGCGTAGTTCTTTAAACGATTATCGAGAAACTAACAGAAGAAATAAGTACTATAGTATAGTATAGATAACGATCGGTAATAATTAGTTACTACTATTTATTAGGCCGTAAATACGGCTATAGTGTAGAGACTATTAAGAAGATATAAGAACTAAAGATAGATTATAAAGAAGATTAGGAGCTCGAAGAGCTCGCCTATAAGGGCGTGGCAGATATACCTCCACGACCTCCTAACTAAGCTACTCGTAACTAAGCTAGAACTAACTATGGCAGTATATACCCGTACTACATAATACTAAGCTAACGAATAGGGCGTAGTAGCAGAGCACGTAATACTTTATTACTAGGATATAACCGAGGAGGAGTGTAAAGACCTTTTCCGTACTATAGAGAGACCGTTTATGATTAGGGGTGACTTATATAACGTACTAGAATATAATACTAATACCGGCGGAATTACTAAGTAGTTCTTATAATAGAAAAGGTTTAACGACTTCCGCCTCGCCCTTGAAGTTATACACGCCTACGAAAACACGGTAGCACCGTAACGGGGAAAGGTATTATAACAGTCCAGGTGGTTATTAAATAGGGACCTTATAAGCTAGGACCCCGGCGGTATTAAGATACTACTAATACTACTTCTCCTCGTTATCCTTATTATCTTTACCCCCCTTAGAGGCGTTAACGCCGCTCTCGGTATACTTAAGACCCTAAGAGAGTTAGATAGTAAGCTACTCTATTACTGTAAAGGAGCCGCAACGGGATCGTAGAGGGATTACTTATAAAATAATCTATTATCACACTTATTATCCCCTTTATACACCGAGCTCGGCGTGCTAGGTCCTACACCTCCACTAATAAGGTATCGCCGCGGCCGCGGCCGGAAGGTAGCGTAAGAGAGACGGCTTATCTAAAGGAAGAGGCCGTCGTCTTTAGACGCTCCTTAGCCTATGGATTATTAGTATAGTACTATCACGATACTAAAGGGCGATTATTTCCTATAATAATACTATTACTACTAGCGACCTTTACTAATATATAGGCCTTATAGATACCTATAAGGCGCTACTACTTCTTTTTAGTAACGGAGAGGACCTATTAACCTATTAGACCTAATTACTCCAGCGCCTTAGCGATACCGCTATAGTATAAAAACAATATATATCCTTATATAGACGTTAGCTATTAGTATACTAAAAGTATACGGTACTAGTACTAGTAGTATTAGTATATACTTCGACTTTATAAGGGTATATACCTTAACGCTTACTATAACTTTAATAACTGTCTTATATTAGCCGCTATAACACCGCTTTAATACCACCTTAAGACTATTATAGCCTATATACGGTATAACACAGACTATACTTTATTTGTATCGGCGATTCTTATTATTTGTAGACGCTATCTACAACTAGATTAGCATACTATTACCGAAGTAGTATTATATTACCGAGATACTTATAGTGTAATAGTTATTATTATTTTTTATATTACTATTACTATTACTATACTACGTAGTTAGCGCTATACTACTATAACACTACCCACGAAGTATATATTAGAGAAGTATATAGAACGAAATAAGAATTAGAATACTAAGAGAAATTACTACTTGGTATAACGCCGTGATAGTAAGCCTATAGGACTACGAATAGGAATATAAGATACGGAAAACCTATAATAAGCTCTATAGCATTATGGGAAAAAAGGAGGAAAATAAGGAAAACTATATTAGTTACTAACTATATACTATTTTACGGCTATAGGCGGAGCCTTACTCTACCTACTTGCCGCTAGATATAGTCGGCACCTACCCCTAAAACAGGTAAGAGAGCCTGCTTTACATATTCTCTTCATTAATTAAATAGAAGGCATAATAGGAGCGATTTCCGGGGATATAAGGAGAACGAGTATAGAGTACCGTGGCTACCATATAGCGGAGACGCTATAGCACACCCGTAGCCCTTACGCCCTTTTTAGGATTAGCCAAGGCTAATCTAAGCTATAGCCTACTACCCTTCCTATTAGCTACTAGCCTAGATATATAATCTAGATACGTAGAAGAGGTAGACCAGGGCTATATCGGCCCCGTAATAGTATTACTCTACCTAAGCATAAGTATAGAGGTTTTCCCCGGGACCCTAGGTTTTCCCCTTTATAGCTACCCGAGAGGGACCGTATAGCCTAAAATAGACTCCTATCGATTAAATAGAATAGCAGAGTAAGATTAATAATAATAATAATAATAATAATACTAATAATAATAATAATACTAATAATAATAATAATACTAATAATAATAATAATACTAATAATACTAATAATACTAATAATAATAATAATACTAATAATCATAATAATAATAATAAAGGTAATACTATGTTTATACCTTTATCTTTCTAAAGGCGATTATATGTATATTATTAGCGAACTCTAGTACTATTATCTTAAGGCCTCTTGCTAGCTTTTGGTAGAGGGTTGAGATATAAAGGGTAAAAAGTATAGGCGAGACTAGGGAACTCTGTAAGACGCCCCCTTAAAGGTGCTAAGGGGGTGCAGTTTCGCCGTTATATATCCACTTAGTATAAAGGTCCCTGCCAAATTAAATTAAAGTAATTTATAAAGCAAAACGCCCTTTTATCGGCTTTTAATTAAAGACGAAAGATTAATTAGATCCTTACTTTCAGTGTTTTTATACCTTATAGCTATTATTTATGTACTAGTTTTAGTATCTTTTAACAACTTTTTAGCTTTAACACTCTTAAGGCCGTTAATTAATATCCAGGCCGGTTTTACCCTGGGATTTAAGCTTTAATAAACTGAATAGATAGGATTAATTCTATAGTTCTAGGGGTGTGTATTAGATGCCTATAGCCTCTTTATCAGAGGCTGATAAACTATATTATATTAGATATATAGAGTACGTCGATCCTATATATCTATACTTATTTTCCCTTATTTCTCCTGATAGTTAGATATCCCAGTAAAGTACTCAGAGCTTTACTTAGATAAATACATATATAATTCCGTACCTTTATTTATATCCTAACAATTATTATAAGTAGTAGATAAACCTGCTCATTCGATTAAAGCTATTTATAATAGTAATAGCTCCTCTATCAGCACATGCCTAGGCCCCTAGAGTGCTATATTTCTAGCGATTCACAGGCGGCTATTTAGAAGCTTCAGCGCACCTTATAGTAGGCTATAAAAGCAAAAACCCTTATCTCACGCGCTAAATAACTAGGCACTTCGGTTTCTGTATAGTGGTGTCCCTCGTACGTAGGGATAGAGGGGAACGAACTAGCGGATAAAGTGGCTAAAAGGGCACTAGACCCCGAAACAGCTACTAATTCCATTAGTTTGGTTACCCTTAGCCACCTAAAACGCCGGGTTAACAAGGCCTTAATTTAGGACTAGAAAGCCCTTTAGAACACTAAAGAGGAGGCGGAAAAAAGAGGTAAATCAGTGCGTTTAGGCCGCCTTTAAAGGCGCCTAGTCCGCGATAACCTCCGTTTCTCCCGAAAACCATTACTAATATAAGGCCCTAGGTAGGTAAAGTCGGCTTTTATTTAGTTAAAAACCGGCTTCGGTTATCTAAAAACCCACTAAAACAGGGCCTAAAATAGCGCCAATAACCGCTATTCCTATCCTGGCTCCCCTATACAGGATACATCACAACTTTTTCTTTCCTGCCCTTTATATAAAAACAAACGAAGAGCCCTGCGGGAAGCCCTAGCAGGCCTACCGCTATCTTTACGGCTATTATTCAGTACTAAAAGAGGTATATAGGCTTTAGAAGCCTATCTTTTAGCTACTAAAATAGCCTCTGCTGAGTGATATATAGCGTAACCCCTGATTTCTGCGGTCTAGGTTTTCTGTTTTGGTTTTGACCTTATTAGGTTTATTAGGCAGATTATTACGGAGGATGTCCTTTATTTAGTACCGAGTTATACTATATTTAGCTTCTACTAGCCTTTAGCCTTTAGGGTGATAGGCGCCGCGCTATAGCTTTAGGGCTATACGCGCGTAATAAAAAAAAAGTAAAAAAAGCTCCTCTGTCTTAAACTCCACGGCCACGACTATACCGATAATTAGTATAAGTACCTTAATCTTATCATTTATATTAATAGACTAACTAATAGATTAATAGTCCAAATATAGAGTTTAGCTATATTATACTTAGACTAATAATCGTAGTTATATATAGACTATAATCGGGATCACAGGTCTCTTAATATAATAGTATTATATTACTATCTATAATTTAGTATAACTATTAGAAACAGTACCGCTAGATCGCCGTAATATCCAGTCCCCGATGTCATAGTAGAATTCGTCCTTGCACAGGTCAGAGTGCAGTTGATGATATGCTCCTTTATATGCCTTGAATTGAGCATCCTTGATATTCTGAGCGTCAAACCACTCCCGACTCGCATCGCAGCTCGTGGTCCGGTCCCCTGTGCCATGGGCGACGAACAAGCTGTCGACATTCCTGCTAAGCTTCAGACGTCCTGATGCGAGATGATTGGTCCTCTCCAATAAACCAGCAAGCCCTTCCAACGTCCCTGTCTCGTGGTTTAATGGGTCCTCGCGAATACTCCGGACGACTTGTGGGTCACGGGAGAGATATTCCGCGGACAAAGCATGCACGAGCTGCTGCTTCGGCGCAAATCGACTAATGAGTCTTCCAAGGAAGACCTTGACGAAGCTTGGCTCCTCACCCGGTGGAAAGCCGATTAATGGCGCTTCTAATATCCAACCACGTATCCGTGTGACGACGTCCTCATACTCTGGCCTCGAGGCAAGAGTAGCGACCTCGCCCCCGCCCATGGAATTACCCATGACGAAAATCGGTGGTTCCACAGTAGTTGCCACAATGCCGTCATTGTCCGTGACCGCTGCCCTCCTTGCAGGAGGTTCTGTTGCACGACAGGGGGAAGGTGGTAGTTTGTCCCGAATAAAGGCCGCTATATCGGACAGCACCTGCGTTGTCGGTCCCGTCAGGCCGCGATCTGCTGGGACGCGAACGGTGCGGCCCCAACCACGCTGGTCGAATCCGAAGACTTGGATTCCACGAGCAGATAAAGCCAGGAAGAAGCCGTTGTAGCGATTGATATGGTCACTGAATCCGTGAATGAAGATAAGCTTCGCCCTGACAGGGCCATCAGGCTATTTCTGGGAATAAGCTCGTGTCGTTGAAGGAAGCCACAGAGGCTGGATGTTAATCTCACCGTCCATGTCTTAGTATACAACTCCGCACCGTCAACAGCGAATGTGCCCTCAACAGTACTAGCCATGATAATATGGTAAATTGTATGCCGCTGTAAAAATAGAGTGCCAGCACGAAGAATAAGTTTATGTCAGATGTCAGATGCCTACAGCCACCTTATCGAGGTGTGATAAACCATAATGTGTCTCAGATGCCACAGCCACCTTATCGGGGTGTGACAAACCACATTATGTCAGACGTGTGGAGTACCTCGCTCCTATGTATCCACCTTTATTTCCCCTGCTTTATCTATATAGTTAGATATCCCCGTGAAGTATCATAAACTTCACTTGGATGAATACATATATAATTCCGCGTACCTTATTTATATTCTAATAGATATAAGGCCGGCGTTCTAATAAACAAAGCTATTCCGATCGATCCTATAGCTTCTAGGCTATTAAAATTAGCCTTAAGTCTATAGCGGGTAGTTTAGTATTATTAGTAATATCCGCCTGCTTTAGTTTTATTTAATCGTTCTATCGTTTCTATCGTACTACCGTTTAAAGCGTTTAGTATAGTTAATTAATCTTTTCGTTTATCTTATTCCACTACTTTTTATTAGTATAACGATAGCTTCTATAGTAGTAGTGCCCGTTATAGGCCTTATAACGCTTACCTCTCCGAAAGACTAGAGGCCTTAGATTAAAGCCGTGATAACTATCGCGTACTCCTACGATATCGCCGACCTCGTTAATTCTAATCTTAAAGAGACTAAATAGCCTAAGCGCCGTATTCGAACCGATCCACCGTAACCTCCTACTATAGCCGAAGAACGTAACGCTACTAATTAGGATATACTGTTTAAGATCTGGTAGGTGGAAGAGGATCGGTATAAGGCTGAAAAGAGGGGGATTTAAGCACTCCACGACTATATCGCGAAGACGGTTAGCCCTGCTTTAAAGGATTAGTACGCCGGCTAAATAGAAGTAAGGGATATATTAAAGGCCTTTAAGACGCACCTTAAGCCGACGAACGCCGCCTAGAAGTCACTAGTTAAGAGACGCTAGGACGAATACCTCTACAACGTTAGGCGTATACCCTATAAACGCTGGCTAGAAGACTTTATAAAGCTATACCGCGACGCCGAGACGTATAAGGTTCGAGAATACGATACTAAGAAATAATAGATAGACGGCTTCTTTAACGCTATCGGTAGCGTAGTACTAGAGTGGTTAGAAGGACGTTTTATATAGCTTATCCGGTTAGAAGAGGAAGACTTACCCTTAATTTAATCGATTATAGAGGAATATACGATATAGCTTCGTCGCCGCTACCCGTACCAACTCGATAAGAAGCCTACCGTAGTATCCTTTTATACGGTAAGCTTCCTAGGTAAGGATAAAAAAGGTAAGGATTAGCGGGTATAATCGGGATAGTAAGATACTTAGCTATAATAAAAGAAAGAGTGGCTTTACGACTACCGTAATAAGAAGAGGAGTAAATATAACTATAAACCTCTATAGAAGTGCCTAAACGTAAACGAGGCGCGTAGAAAAAAGGAATATATACCTTTAAAAGAGATCTTAGAATGCTACGACTGTATTCTTAAGACCTAGGATAACGAACGTTAAAAGAGATTCCGGGAAAATATCGAAAAGGACGCTAAAAGCCTAAAAACGGGTACTAAAAACGACTCTTAGAAGTTCTAGCTAAAAGAATCGTTAAAAGAGGTATCTAATTTCGTGGATAACTAGGACAAGGATTCTGACAAGGAATCCTATAGAATGTATTCTTTTCTATAGCTAAACGGTAACGTTAGTAGTTACCTCTTTAATTAACTACTAATCGACTCTGGCACCTTAAGGTATATCACTAAGTAACGATACCTATTATAGGACTTTAAACCTGCTATTAAAGAGCGTTGTTTTTAAACGGGTAGTGGAGAGACTAAGCTAGATAAGGGTTATAGCAGGATATAATTAGAAGTGGACGACGAATATAGTAAGCCCTTCGTTTTAGTGCTAAATCGCGTTACTTTTATATAAGACTACCTAATAATCTTAATCACGACTAGAAGATTAAAGGAATAGGGTATCGTTTTTGATTCCGGCCTTAAAGTGCTAAAGGTGGAGGGCTTAATAGCCCTACCTCTGAATAACGTTAACAATTAATACGCTCTTATTCTAACGGATCGTTAATAGCACCTACTAAGCAGCTTCTTTAATAGCTCTATAATGCCTACTATAAGCGTAGTAGACGCTCGCTTATAGCACGAGAGGCTAGGGCACGCCGGCGCTACTGCCCTCGATAAAATTAGAGATACCCTTATCGGAGGCGTTATTAAAGGAAAAGGCCTTTTATAGTGGATTATAAGGCCTATACCCTTAGTAAGGCGAAGATGGTAGTATCTAGACGGTCGCCTAACTACTAAAGGACGATACCGTGGTATAGGGTAGAGGTTAACCTTTTTAGCCTTAACGAGGCCTATAATGGTATCAAGGTCGTGATGCTTTTATACGATCCCTATACCTATTAAGCTATTATACGGTTCCTACGTAACTATAAATTAGCCTTACCTATATTAGTGAATTTTAAGTTCTTTCTTTAGAGGCAGTACTACTATATAATTATAGTACTCCGCCTGGATAGAGAAAGATCCCTTTAGAAAGGCTTTAATAAATAGGCCGACGAGAGAGGGATCTTGCTTAAGAGGTTATCGCTATATATAGCCAGAACTAGTGGCTGCTATAGTATATCTGTATAACCTTATCCCTCGGAAGGACCTCTAGTGGAAAACCCCTTAAGGGTAGATAGAGGATTAGATTAATAAATAAGGCCTAAAGAAGATTCTGACGAAGCCTATCGTTAGCCACTTAAAGAGGTAGAGTTATAGGGTATATCCACTAACCGGCGACTATCAACGAGGTCGTAACCGTAATGCTAAGCTCGCGGAGAGAGTATATATCGGCTATTTAATCGGCTATAAGAGCACTAATATATATCGGATTTAGGTGCTAAAATTGAGGAGGATCCTGCGGACGAGAGACGTTACCTTTAACGAAAAACAGCTATATAAAGATCGTGACCACGAACCTAAGGTGTTAATTAAGGTTTTCGAGCAACTTAATCTGCCTATAGATTATTAACTCTATAATCCTCTAGGTAGTACTACTAATATAGTCGATTTCCACTCTTAAACGCTGCTAGAATAGAATACTATAAGGGAGGCTATAGCGGCTACTACTGCTGCTAGTGCTTCTAGGGGGGTGGATAGAGGTGAAGGTTCAATAACTACTATAGAATCTGCAGAAAAATACTAATAGCAGGAAGATTAACCTGCTAATTAAGAGGCACGTGGAACAGGGTAAATAAGCCCTATAACGCCTTCCACGCCAATGCCTTCTATACCTCCGGCAGCACCTGCTTTAACGTCTTCCATAATTACACCTATAATTATGCCTGCGACGGCACCTGTTTTCCCTCCTTTAATAACCATAAACGGCCCTTCTACACTACTAACTAGAACTACGGATCTGCCGCCTGTTTTTAAACGGCCTAACGATGCCGAAGATTAATCTGATAATATAGCCATAACCGGCAATACCGTTAAGATAGGATTATTATCCCCTGACTAATCGGTTCTTAAAGAGGAATTAACTACTGCTACCGCCGTTAATCCGGTATCTACGGCTCCTGCTACGGTAGAGCTACCTGCTAAAGCTAAGTTTTTATAAACCTCTTCTTTTACTACTATAGCTAACTAACCTGCTTCTATAAGTAGAAGAAACCGCCCTCCTATTATTCTAACTGCCGCTACCGACCGGCCTACCCGTAGTAGGCGTCTAACCGACCGTTATACCCCTCCTTTCTTTTATACCTTCTATAATTAGATTAAGATACCGAAAAAGCCGCTACTACGCCGCGATATGCCTGCGGAACCTCTGAACTGGTCTTCAATGCTGAAGAGTCCCTATAAATTAGAATGGATTAAGGCCGCCTTTTAGGAGGTCGGCACGCTTAGGTTAATAGGCACGTTTAAACGGTGGGAATAGTCCTACTAGTAGGGGCACGGCTTAGGACTACCTAAATCAGTTCTAAGGCCACTAGACCTTAAAGGGGTTTTTAAGTATAAGGTTAATTCTACTAGTTATATTCATAAGTTTAAGGCGCGCCTTTACGTTCGAGGGGATTAATAACCTAATAACCACCTTAACGCTTACGCCTCCACCCTTACTAAAAGGACCTTTAGGTCGCTAAGAGGTATTATAGCCCACTTCGATCTTAAGACTCGGTAACTTAACGCCGTTAACGTATTTACTAATACCCTGCTTAACGAGGAAATCTATATTAAGGACCCTCCTGGTTAGTAGTTACTTTAGTCGGCTACGGGCCTTAAAGCCCACGAATAGCTTAAGGACCTTTTAAAGTAACGCCCTCCTATATAACGTAGAGGGATTTAACGGCTGCGCCGGGCGTTATATAGCCTTCGGCGTTCCCTAAAGCTATAGCACTAATAGCTCTCTTCCGTACTAGGTAAGTGCGGTTTAAAGTAATTAACCGAAGACGATTACGTCTTTAAGAATAAGGTCCTAATTACTTTCTTTTACGTTAATGATATTATCCTAATCTATCGTAAGGAATATTAATCTGCTACTAATAACCTAGTATAGTATATATAGAAGAGCTTCTAAATCAGGGATCTAGGACTAATTAAGTGGTTCCTTAGAATCCGCGTAGGACGCGATCGTTAATAACGTAAGCTATACTTATCGCTTAATAACTATATCACCGATAAGATAAAGGCGTTAAAGGTGGATTATAGAGGTCGTAGGGTTAAAAGCCCTTTTCCTTATCCTAACGTTCTAGAACCTGCCGACTAATAAGCCTCTAAGGAATTAATCTATCTATATCTTCGGAAGGTCGGTTCTATTAATTACGCCGCCTATTAAACCCGGCCTAACGTCTCTAAAGCCGCTTCGAGGCTTACCGAATTCAGTATTAATCTTTAAAATAGTATCACGAAGCTACTAATAAGTGCCTAAAGTATCTCGGCTCGATAAAGACTCTATGCCTTTACTTCGGACCACGTAAAGACTACTAAAAGCCTATACTCTTCTATACTTCCGACGCCGCCTTTATAGACGACCGTAAGACTAGGTATAGCTCGTAAGGGTATACGACCCTGCTATTCGGG